GGTAGATAACTTTTCTCCTAACCAGACTTAATCCTGGCCTGGAGACTGGTAGTAAAGCAGAAGGTGGAGAGGTGGTGTTAATTATCCCCCTTCCACCCATCAGTTTTCCTTCGTATATGTTGCCATATAACCAAATCTGTCTTTTTTTACAAGCCACTCCGAGTAATTCTACTCTGAGTCATAACCTGCAACACCAAAGGCTCCTAACACTCATAAACGTCATACCTTACATAGACACAAAAGGGTTTCTAGGTTATCTGAATGTGTGTGTTTTTTGACATTGCATTAATGCACACCAGCTCCAGGGCCCTGGAATTCCTTTCTCCATCCTGTTGAGTAATTTTGGGACACTAATCCCTGAATTCTCCTTGCGTACTCTGCTAGCCACACTTGCAGGCCTGTCAACCAATCAAAACCAACAGCGTTAAAACTTTTGTGCCACTTTTGCGATCTCGATGTGGACTCGTGGTCCACAACACCTCACACGTAGACAGATGTTAAGTGTCAAAAGTGCCACAAAATGTTTTTTGTTGTGTTTTGTTCTTTTCGTTCACAGGCCAAAAGAGACTCGCACGTCTATCTATCTCCATGAAATTTGCCCCCAAAGAGACCTATTTTCACACCTTATTTTTAAAAAAACCCAGACACAGGTGTTAGTGTCTCAAAACTGCTGATCTATAAAGACAAGGAAGTCCATTTCCCGAAGGAGTGTTTTTGAAGACACTCTGCAGCCAGAGAGAACTCTAAATTAAAACTCACTCAAGAAGGGTTGGAAATGTAAAAGGCAAATAGACAAATGTAGTTGAGGAAGACTTAAGCAGTTAGGAGAGGCTTGCCCGAACCTTAATTTCCAAAGACCAGCCACTCCATTTAAAGGTATGGACATTTCTGGAATGACAACACATCCGGGTTTTGTGAGCGTTCTGAGCTTTCAGCAGTGATTATAGCAATGTGATTATATTTCATACCACATGCAAAATCTGTACCTAACTGATGTCAATAACAGCCCCCTTTTTGGTGTAAAGAGCAAAGCCAGTGTTATGTCTCTCATGACAGGAGCTTTCCTTGAGGTTGATTAATATTTTGTTGGAGTGAGTGCTGCATTTTTTTTCCTATCCATTTTGGTGGTCCTTAGGTATCAGACTATTGGGGAGGGCAACACTGTACCATGTTTCATTCCTGATAAGTGAATAAAGTATTGTGAAAATGCAATCAGGTTATTCACTTATCAGGAATCGGCTGTACTGCTGGTTTGGCTGTTTCTGGTCTTCATTCTCTGTTGTAATTTCACAACTTTCCTGTGTCCTGTTTGTTTTTCTTTCTTTTCTGAGGCCTTCCTCCTTCTCTCCCTCCCTTCCTTCCTCTCCTCCTTCCTCTCTCTCTCTCTCTTTCTCTCAATCTTTCACTCTTCCCTTTCTCTCTCAAATGCTCTAGCACAATCACTGGGAAGTTTCCCTTCTTTTGACCATGAAATATGTTCTCAAAACGGGGAACAAAAAAAAAATCTTCACAAAAATCTATGCACCTGCTATCAGGAACACAATATTGGATGTGTCTTATATCTATTCAGTGCGTGGTTTCTTAAATAAAGCTACTGAAAGGATTCGTTTGTCTGTAAAAGTTTTATGAGGGATTAAAAGCAAAGAGTTTCTAAGGTCTGGGCTTTATTTTTGTTAAAATGAAAAAGGGAACACAAAAGTCTTAAATTCCTCCATGCCAAATGATTTTCTTTTTGTATGGTATTATTTAATCTATCCATGGAACTCGGAAAAATGGACTAAAGGGGAAAAGGGGAGATGGTAGTTATTATTTGGGCAAAGAACAAAAAAAATAATTTCCTTGAAAGCTGAGATTGTTATCAAATATGTTCCTTTTACAATGTAAAGGCTATATTAAGGAGAAAGACTATTTTTCTTACTAAATACAAAGCCATTTTTGGACACCAGAGAAGAGTAAAAAGTGTCTGATGTTTGCCATATACCATAATAAACTTACTATGTGTCTGAACCGTTGGTTTGTGTGGTCTATAAAATATTCATAGACGATGCCTACTTTTCGTTGCCAACTCTGCTCGATGAGTGGTAGTAACTTCAGAGAAAGAACTAGTAGCGTGCACAGATGTCCGTTGTAGTCATAGCATGGGGGGAAAACAGTGAGAAGACATACATAGTCAATGACGGAAGAAGGAATGTCGTGATTAGCGATGGGCATGAACTATTTGTGCCAGTTCGTTTATGGGCTGAACAAGTGTTTGGCACGCCCCAGCCTGCCTCCTTTGGCAGGCACCCACTCAAAAGCAGCGCCAGAAGGAGGTGGGGCAGGGAAGCCACAGCGTTTCCTCTGAGTAGGGGCCCGCCCGCCGGAGGAGGTGAGGCTGAGAGGCACCGATCACCTGTTCGTCTGATAAACAACCCGGCAGTTTGTGCCCAACTCTAATTGTGATGTGTTTTCAGAGACTTCTGAGTGGATTTCTGCTGTCCAGCTTTTCTTTATTCTGTGAGCTCCTCATCAGGGCATGTTGTTTAGCAGGAGAAATGAAAGAAAAATTAAAAAGGACCACCTCTCACAGAGTTCAAGCTGTCAGGAAAATCTCCAGACGTGCTATATTTTATTCTACTCCCCCACTCTTTATCGAATAACTACATTATACCTTTTAAAAAAAAATATTTACCCTAGGAATAGGGTAAGGACTACAAAAGGTAAAAGGAAGTGAGGGGAAAGGGGAAAAATTAGAGGATAGGAGAACACAGAATATACAATCATCCAAACTATTCATATTTCAATAACAAATCAACTTTCTGCTTTTTAAAAAACTATTTGATTACCCTCCAGTAATATTATATTTTATATATTTATATAATTATATATTATGGTTATATTTTAGTTTAAAGCTAAGTTACTCCAACACTGTGAGGAAACTGAGACCATTTGTAAAATTTATCCCATTGATTTGAACAGTCATTCAGCACACCCGAATCTCTCATTGTTGCTTCCCATATTTCCTCAGTACGCTCCTCTTGTTTCCATAGCTCTGCTTTTTTCCAATTTTTGGAAGAGAAGGATGGATCCAAGACAGCAATCTACATTATACCTTTTTAAAACAAACCGATGCACTGACATCTGGACATACAATATTGTCCCACAAACATCTGTGGGCTTCTAATAGGATGTGTTCCCCATATTTGGTCATTATATATGTCTTTTGAATGTGGATGGGTGGTAATCCCTAGCCAACAGCAGAAACTTTGGGAATAGAAACACTATACAGAAACCACTTGAATCCAGCACTTATCATAGAGTCATTTGGTCAAATAAGAAGCTGATGTGAGAAGAATTTCAGTTAAGACAATGGTGGGGGAAAGAGACATTTAAAAAACAACAGCCCTTAAATCATAACACATATCCATGATGACTCATTGCACCAATTTATTATTCTAGATTTCTATAGACATGTTACACACAGTTCCCATTTCTTCCTGCATAAATCCTTCATATTCCAAGTCAATAAGCAAAATAAATTGTTGAAAACTATGAAAAGCATATGTCAAAATCTAGGAAAAGTACTTGAGTATTGCTGACCCATGTGTTTTAGTGATCGTACAGAATGCGATCAGCCAGCTGATCAATGAATAATGCACCACAGCGGAAGTTGCCATTAGACTGGTAAATAACCAAGAGACTATTGCCTTACATTTGTATAACTTTGCTGCTGAATAGAAAATTCTAGAAACAAGCGTGAATTTCTGCATATTCCCCAGACAGAATGGAAAGCTTGACGACATTATTTGTGTTTGTTTAGAATCATTAACAGTTGGCCAGGAAGAGACACAAACATCTACGGTAAATCCTGCAGGAAGTACACCACTGTAGTGATCGTTCTGGCAAGCCCAGCTCTGTTCCGTATCATGAATAGTTAACAAATATACCAAACACAGGTTTTCAGGCATTGTTATTGGACCAGAGTTAATTTATACACTATGAAATAACCAGTATGTTTGCAAATAAGCAGCCTGCCTAAATGAGAAGTGTAGCATAAAATCTCAACTCGGCATGTTTTCATTATCATCTTCTTCTTCTTCCTCATCCCCAAATTTCTATTTTTCAGTAGGCAATTGGCAATCCCCTGTAAATCTGTTGCATGATGGTCATCCAGATCATCTGACGACACTGCTCTTGGGACCAACAGTTTGTGATTATTTTCTACTTTCTGAGCCAACTTCTTCATAGGGATGCTCTAGCAGATGCTTACCTTTGTGCCCAAGATCTCTCAGATCAGGGCCGTTACCTTTAAATCATAACCAATTTAGTGGTGCTGAAGGAGCACAACAGGGGTTCATTAGCCCAATGGGATTCCTGATGACTAAGAAATACTCAGGCGCAAGAAATCGAATGGAAAATCCCACACCGTTTTCCTTGCACCTCTTGATAAAGCCTGTCACTCTTTTTTTGCACCATCACAAGCCAATGGAATGATGCCAATGGACTCTGGCCACTGGCTGGGTCCAAGGATGGGGTCATTGACAATCCCAACGTCATGATGTCCTCTTTTGTGGGAGTCGCTCATCTCAGGCATACCAGCTACTAAGGTGGAGCAACTATTGTGGTGCTTTGCGAGGTAGGCAGGGAATGAATAAAAATTAAAACAAGTAAAATGGAAAATAATTTGGAGGGAGGATGGACCCGTATGGCTTTCACAGCAGTGTTTTAAACCTGCAATATACCTTTTCATCCCTGTGGCAACTGGTGAATTTTCATTGTCTGCGCAACAGAATATGGAGGAATACGGAGCTGGTCCTCTTCTTCTTCCCAAAATTAAACATCACAATCCAATGCGAATGCTGCACTGCAGACACATGCCAAAACAAGGGTTTAGTTGGGGGAAGAGAGGGAGGCTATTATGCTACAAGCTCACAAAGACTCTTAAGTCCTTTTTATCCCTATGGTAACCATCAACCATTTATTTGTGGAACACAATGACCTACGCTGCAAAACATAGTTATGAAGCAGCAGGCTCTATAGAAACCTGACTGGACACATCGCTAAGCGAGCTGAAGAAACATAAGTAACAGCAGGTGAAAATGTGTGCATTAGGGAGGGTGGCGGGATAAGCTACTTCCCTCAGCTACGAGAAGAAAGCCCCTCTTTTAGGATTTACATAGGACCATTGTTCTTGCTGCTTAATAATCCTTCAGGCTGCATTATTTGGTCAATTAGATTAAACAATTGAAAGTGATTTTTAAAAGTGCCCTCAATTAATCAGGCTGGAAGTTATTGGAAGCCTTAATTGTTTTGAAAACGAGCACGTAGGAAATATCACAGCTGGTAAGTGGCAGCTTAGAAGCGGGTCGGTACCGTTATCTCTCAACCATCCAGCGGAATATGCCTGGTTTCAGAAGTGTGTGGTGTATGTGTTCATGTGACACCACCTGAAAGAAAAAATTAATTCCCCCACTTTAGAATTCTTGTTTCATTCCTATGCAGATAGTGAATGTGTGTGTGTGTGTGTGTGTTCATGTGACACCACCTGAAAGGAAAAATTAATTCCCCCACTTTATAATTATTGTTTCATTCCTATGCAGATAGTGAGTTAGCACTCTTAAATGCAATTCCACGTTCCCTACTAGCAGCCCTTTTTGGAATGTGGGGTGGATGTAGTTTTGGGAGACGAGTTCAAACTGTGGCGTGGTGGTACATTGGGCTGCAGAGTGCCAGGCTGGCAGCTAGAGTCCCAGGAAATGGCTACGTTTCTCTGGATATCCAAGGGAGAGACAGATCTCGGTGCAAATGTTGCCAGAATGAGGAAGTTTGGTCTGATTGTTTTTGAGGTATCTTTAAAGCCCGGGCATCTCTCTCGGTTGCAGAGCTTTGAATTTTTTTGTTAAATTCCTCTAGCTGGGCAGCAGACGTGGAGGGAGTCATAGAACAGAATAGCTGCAAGTTCCTCATGTAGTTCTCCCCATTTCTCATTCACTGGCACAGTTTCAATAACTCACTCGGACACATTAGTAAGAGAAAGAATAAAAATGTTTGATTTACTTACAGATCAACAGCAAAAAGACAAACATGACTGATTTCAGCAACAGACTTCAACAGACTAGAGAGGGAGAGAGAAAAAAGACACTGAGCAGAGAGGCAGGGCTCTTTTTTAATTCAGAGGCAGGAGGGAACAATTAGTTAATGCTGGATAGATGGCGCAGAAAGGTGCCTTCCAGCCACAACATCTCCAAGCAGCATGCAAGGTTGTTAAAAACTCCAACACTCTCTTGCCACTCCCAGCTGGCTCCAAAGTTTAGTGGCACAAAGTCAGTGAGAGGAAGGGGCTGGGGAAAGAGCATGGCAGTGCAGGCCTTCGGGGCCTTCGTGCCATTTCGAGCAAGACTGGACATGAGGGCCAGAAGTGTAGCTCCTGATGCTTCATGTTGCACAAGCCCTGAAGAGAGTGGCAGTGAACTTTGTGCAAGCACATGGCCAGGAAAAGGTCCACCCGTGTCTCCTGAGTGCTGTAGGTAAGTCAGCACGGGATGTAAGCTGCTAGGGGCATTTTGCCGTATGCCTGGCCACCAAAACTTTGCACATCATGCAAAAGCATGCTATTTTGCATGATGTGCAAAACAGCACATCATGGACCAGATCTGAACCCATTTCACTTGTGCCTGTTTTCCACAATCAGCAGTTCCAGAAACATCTTTGAGGGGCCCTCCCAGCTCTTGCCTAACTCTGCAACATCGCAAACCCTTGACATCACAGGGTAGCGCTCATATGACATCACAATGGCTCAACGCCTAGTCTCAGCTTTCAGCCCTGAAATTTTAAGGAATAGGATTTAGTAAGAGGCAATCTTTCCATGGAGTTTTCTTGGCAAAGATATTGGAGTGGCTTGCCATTTCCTGCTCCAGGTGGATTGTGTTTAGTCAGAACTCTCCGCTATGACCTGTCCGTCTTGGGGAACGACAGAGGATGATCATGGCATAGCCCGTAGCTTCTCTGAATTACTCAAGCCCCTTCGCCACGACAAGGCAGCAATCCATGAAGGGGGCAGCAATCCGTTAAAGGGTATATGTGAATCTGTGAAGAGGAAAAGGGGACGACAGAGGATGATATGGGTGGACAAGGTCATCGAAGCGACCAAGAGGAATTTGACCCAACTCCGGGAGGCAGTGGAAGACAGGAGGGCCTGATGTGCTCTGGTTCATGGGGTCATGAGGAGTTGGACATGACTCAACGACTAAACAACAACAAGGAGGTAATCTGCAACCGTAGCAGGATGGGTGCGTGCCCTATTTTACAGAGGACAGACTTCAATCAGAACAGAGAGCATAATACAGTCCTGTATCCATGCAATCCTTCCTCTGTCTAACTGAACGCAGATACTGGAAAACATGGATTATAGCAAACATTATTATAATAGTGAATGGTGTGGTCTCTGGCTCCCTCTCATGGCCAGTTCTGGTATGCTATCATGGAAATATTTTTCTCTAGAGAATGCTATGTATAGCATGGTCTCTGGTTCCTTCCAGTGGCCAGTTCTGGTAACTCCATTAATAAAAAGATACATTGGGATACTCCTTATATTCCACCCCACAGTGCTTGAAGCATTACTGTACATTCATTTTCATAATACACTTTCTCTTTAAGGGCAATATTTAAAAGGGCATGTGAGGTGCTAAAATCCCCTGGCTTCTTTTCTCTGCAGAACAATGGAGCACCTTAGTAAAAGTGGTATTTCTAGACCCAGCTACCTTCTGAGGAGGGAATAAGGAGACAAAGAATCTGCACTGCGCAGTTCGATCGGTTCAATTGCACTTGAATGGCCACTCTCCATCCTATGCAGTGCTAGGATCTGCAGCTTGGAGAGGGACATTGAATGATCAGCTAGACCTCAAAGGAGTGCATGAAACCTCTCTAGCAAACATCTCTAAGTGACTAAATCCCAGGATCTCAGAAGGTGGAGCTATGGCAGGGAAAGGGGTCTCAAACAGATGTAACTAGGTAGTGCCGCTGCACTCAGAGAAGGAAGAGGGGAGGCTGGAAGAGTAAGCGAGAGAGGTTACAGGCCCTGCTCACTGTCAGTATATACCTCCCCACATAATAATGAAGGAGCACAGCATCCAACAAGGAAAAGAAGATGATACAACCCTGTTGCAATGGAATATGGGGAACAATAATAATAACCGTAGAACGGCAGAGCTGGAAGGGACCCTCTGGATCATCGAGTCCAGTCCCTCTCAAGGAGGCCCAAGGGGGGGAATCGAACTCCCAACCTCTGGCTCTGAGACCTAAGCCACTGATCTATCCAGCAGTGACATCCTCCAGGAAGCACAAGGTGCCCTCAACCTACCATGTTTCTTGGGAAGGGTACACAGGGATCATATTTGAGCATCTATACTACTAGCCCTCCTATCCATTCTTCAGTGTCATGGTTTTATCTTCACATCTACTAAAAAGAAACACTTTTTTTTAAAATTATTCCAGAGAGGCCAAGACCGAGGCTATTTATCAGAAAGCTCTTTTGCTCCTAATATTTGATTTTAAAAAATCACAGCTCTATTTTCAAAACTGTATTTTTAAAAAGTTTTGTTTTAGTTCTTGCATTTTAATTTTCTGTTATTATTAAGTATTGTTACTTCTTAATGTGGTTCAAATTTTAATAAATTTCTGTTCCACGCACAGCACACCCACATCTTAACAACCCTGGCATTCAGATTTGTCATCATAGAAATCATAGAAAAGTGAAGTTGGAAGGGGCCTACAAGGCCATCAAGTCCAACCCCTTGCTCAATGCAGGAATATAATCAAAGCATATCTGCCAGGTGATTATCCAAGTTTTTCTTGAATGCCTCCAGTGCTGAAGCACTCACCAACTCCTGAGGTAACTGGTTCCACTCTCGTACTGCTCTAACTATTAGGAAGTTTTTTCCTGATATTCAATCATTTTGATGGAAAGTCAAGATAGAGATGTTAATATAAGTTGTTGTTTAGTTGTTAAGTTGTGGCCGACTCTTCGTGATCCCATGGACCAGAGCACACCAGGCCCTCCTGTCTTCCACTGCCTCACAGAATTGGGTCAAATTCACGTTGGTCGCTTCGATGACACTGTCCAGCCATCTCGTCCTCTTCTTGTTCCCCTTCTCCTCTTGCCTTCATACTTTCCCAACATCAGGGTCTTTTCCAGGGAGTCTTCTCTTCTCATGAGAAACAGAAATAATAGGCTATTAATCTTCCTGAGCTCCACCTACAAAAAATGGATGGGATATTAACTAATTAACTAATAAGTGGCAAAACTATTTGTATAGTTTATGATGAATAATTACTATAAATAGAAATATTACGGCTGGCATCATAGTGAAGAAAACAGTAACCCAGCCAACTTTTCTTCCTGCCAACAGTGCAGGCCCTACTTGTCAAGATGGCGACTTTCAAAGGCTTTGCTCACCATCCCTTTTAGCGTTCCTTATGTTTATAGTAGATTTAAACTGGACAACCCTTCCAATAAACCACTGTATGCCTCATGAAAGTGGGGCACACAGTCACCCAAAGCCATTACAAACTGTCAGATGCACCCCAACTTATTAATCCCTGGGCTGAACACAACCATAGGCCTCAGCCTTTATGTTGCTCTGCCTATGAAGCTGCTACCATTATTACTATTTCATTATGTGAAATAATAAGAATGTTTAAAGGGGCTGTTTCCCCCTTCCTCAGCCTTCCTCTGCTTTCTGTGGTCTAATCCATTTCTTTCCCTTCTGTAATGTTGAGGTTCTTCAGAAACATTCTGCTAGAATTCCCTCAGAAGACCCGCTTAGAAATCTCAAAACTTGGATTTTTACATTTTTAAAAGAAACTTCTCACTACTTCTCAGCAGCTGGTTTGCCCTGATAGTTGTGCAAATAATGTATTGCATTGCACATTATTCATATATATTGTGTTGTCATTAGCTCTGTTAGAAAAACGGAGATCTATTTTCTGGTTCCCTTTGGTGGCCAGTTCTGATACTGCACCTTGGAAAAGTTTGTGAAAAGATAAAAGCAAACATACTTTTCCTTGACAATTCAGAGTGATAAAAGAACAGCAT